ATTAAAAATACCCCATAAATAATTAAAATAAATTAATCCATTAAAAATCAAGTATAAAAACCAAACCCTGTACATAAATACTAAAAACATTCAAGATGATTTGGGGGGGGCAAGGTCAATCACCCCACAAGCCGCCTCCACTGGTGCTTATCACCTATAAAAAGCATTTCATGGCAGAGGGCCTGCTATATGAGGGACCACCTATCTCTGTTGTTTCTTCCCATCTGGGGGATTGGGCAGAGTGGATACATTTTGTGTCCCTTCGACAAAACAGTGCCATCTATTGGGACCTAGACAATGTGCCTTCTCTGTTGCAACTCATGCTGTCTGGAACAACCTCCCCCCAGAGATCCATATAGCTCATACCCTGATGATGTTCAAAAAGTCATTGAAATCTTAGCTGCTCTCCCAGGCCTTGAGCAGCTTGGTGGTTGACCCTCGTATGATGTTTTGCTATTATAGAGAGTTTGCCTTCTGGATGCTTATGATTTTTTAAATTTCCCTTTTTTAAAAAAATATATATGCCACCCAGGGTTATTTAGTGCTGGGCAGCCTCTAAATTGTATTAAATAAATAAATTTATGCAAACAGCTATACTCTCCTGTAACAGTTGCTCTGCCTCTGGTCTTCAAATCCCTTCTGCCTTCCCATCTGTATTAGTGGTATCAGTGACATCACTTTCAGTTTGTTTGGGAAATGGTCTCTCCCTATCTGCCCTGCTCCTTTTGCAGTGATCGTTTTCTGTTCAAGTCACTTGTCAGTGTGAGACACTTGCTTATCCTATTTGTTTATCTTTTAAAATTGTTAATTGCTTTGAGTTCCCTGTCAATAGAATGGTATGATATAAATCATATTAGTAAATAACTGCTGTGGTAGTGCAGCTTGAAATAACTTTGGATTGTTCCATTTCCTATTCATAAATAAATTCTTACAAATAGGTATCAGTCCTTGGTAGATGTGTAATTTAAAGTACCTTCAACTGATAGTGCAGCTAAATAGTCCTGAAATACAGTATCAAGTAGCAAATGATTCTGTGATAAGTGATATTTCCCACTGAGACTTGAATGCCTTCTACTCTTGGCAATCACCATGTTCACTGGCAGAGTTTTATATGTTAATTGTTTCCAATACCAGTATTGAGGCTTATTGAGGATATGCTTTCAGCAAACTATGTCTTCCAAGATTATTTTGTAACCAGAATTACTGTTCTTTATTATTCTCAAAATTCTTCTGCATAGTTTATAATCTTAATTTCCACTACACAGATTGCTCAAGTATAATAATTTATGGTTTGTTTATGAGCACTAGCGACTCTTAATCTAGCTCCTCCACTTTTCTTCTTCTTTGCTTCAGAGAGCAGACAATTAGAAGATCCTGTTCCTTATATCATTTTGTGTTAATTTTTAAAAGTTCACTTTTGCATTTGGAAGACTAGCACTGAAAGCTTCCAGTGTCCTTCTTTCTAATAAAAATGAACTAGAAAGGACAAAGGAAGCACACTTGAGTCTTGTCAGTGCAGCTTGTAATCAGCCAATTGTTTAGTATGTAATTAATATCTTTAAGAGATTGAATGTATCTGTTCACTTTTCCCAAGTTTCTTAGCTGGGATTTTTTTTAAAAAATTAACAATACAGAAAAATAATTTAAAATTTCTATAGATAGTAGTTTATCTTTGCATAAGGAGTTTTGAAGTTTGAATGGCTTTCACATATTTTCTCATTGAACTTGAAATTACTGTGCTCCAGTAGAGTCTGCATTCAGTATTTAGTTATCCATGTTTTTAAACTCTAAATAATATTTTGAGCTTTCTATTTAATTAATTCTAAAGTAATTTATTGACAGAGATTATTACAATTGAATTGTCACCACTGATTAACTTACTCATACTAGCTGATGCATTACTAGCTTTGTTGAATAACCCAAGGGAATGTAGATGTTGTTGAATAACCCAAGGGAATTTGCATTGAGTTATGAAAAACAATGCAAAGAAAACCACTGAAACATGTACTTCATTTTTTTGTAATTTGATTTGATCTTGGCTTTCATTTCTAATATGATTATAATTCTAAACATTTAATTGCATGTGAAGTGTTATCAGAGAATATTAATTTTCTCTATTCTTGTTAGTAAAAAAGAACACAAAATGTAACATAAAAACACAACAAATACAAAAGTTACAAAAGTAACTTGAGTAACTGTACTCAAGAATTTCTGGGGTTGTTGGTAGCATAGAGTGTCTGAATACTAATACAATGTTTTAAAAGACTGGTAATTTTAAACTTTGCCTAACCTTCAACTTTAGGGGAAAACATCAGTTACTGCTGACAATAATACTTTGCCACATATTAAAAGTTATTCTA